GGGGGGGAGTTGGGGAGGAAATTGTATATGCAAATGAGGTATTTATGTTGATGACTATTGCTCTATTGTGTCGATAAATAATTTATTTATCAACAAGACAAGGCAACTGGTTTCTTTGAAAATCATGTTGGTAGATGCGCTATAACCTGTAGGTACTACCAATATGCTTTTTGTGTCATTTCGTCCTTTATATGTTGAACAGGGGGGGGGGGAATTGTATATGGAAATGAAGTATTTATGTTAATGACTATTGTTCTATTGTGTTGATAAATAATCCCCGAGCCGACCGTGCAAGGGTACTAATGCCCCCCGGCTATTTACACCCGGGAAATGAAAGCATTAGCGAAGTCTAAAGTTCATCATAGTGGGTGGTCATCCTCACTGATCTCAAAAATATGGCGGACTGTCATGAATAGCGAACACTGTGATTGGTCCAATTTAAAGTTTGCATTATAACGACTGCATGACGACAGCGAAATAGCAAACATTTCTTGATTTGATGATTGATAAATTTGAAAATTTCTTGCAAATATATTTCATTTTTGCTCGCATTTTTGCTGAAGATTTTGTAAATTTCAAGAAAGAAAGGGCTAAAAAATCGGCTAAAAGAAGGGAGCCGTAAGTTTGGTTTAAAACCTGACGGCCTTTGCGTATATGGAACAACTAAACAAGACAGCATATAATTTCAGTGTATCTTTAATATTGATTCCTTTTTTTATTATATTGAATTTTTTTAAATAAATAAAAAAGAAAGCAAAGTTATTTGCATGCGAGAATTTGAAATCATTTTATTGCAACTCAAAGTTTATCGATAAAGCCATTTAATTAAAGGCAGTTTTACAAAGAACATTTTAAAACGTTTTGCGAAGCGTTTGTGGTTGAATTTTACCTTAAATTGAAGCTAATATTACGTATAATATCATACCTAACATATATATGTTGGGAAATTGATAATTTTGTAATTAAAAGTGATATTTTTAGGCGATTTTTCATTTTTAAGAATATTCTTAAAAAATTATCGTGTTAGCATAACAACTACTTTAGATACTTCATGTTCGAAAAATATAATGGTTTTGTCAGCAAGGCGAGGGTTTCTGCATGCATGTATTTCCTAGTTATTGATTGATCAAGACGAGACAACTGCCTTCGTTGAAGATCATGTTGGTAGATTCGTTACATCCTGCTGGTACTACCAATATGCTTTTTTTGTGTCATCTATTATTTTCAAATGTCGAAAGGAATGAGAAAAAAAACGGAAAGTGAAATCTGATATACTTATATCGAATTACAATAGTACAATAGTTTTTTCTTTTATTGAAAAAAATATTAACATTACAGTAATATCATATAGCTGGGAGGGATTTCTTGTAAGAGTAAGTAGATCTATTCTTGTGAAAAAATCCAAGATGGACGCCCTATTTTTTGTTTACCTCCCAGCTAAAATACCATCCTCCCAAAGTAGGTAGTTATCCCTCATATTTAAATATCTCTGTGACATTTCAATGGAATCCTTTCAAAATTGGTACATGTATACCTAATATAAATATGCAAATTTTCCTCATGTGTATGTGTCTCTATGATTAAATCAAGGTGGCTATTGTAATTTTTTAAATCCACAAAATAACACTTTTGCTATCTCCACCCTCCTAGGTCGAATCTTAATTGCATGAGTATGCTTCATTTGGGTTGATTAGCAACCCTGCAAAAGTCCTGTCGCTCGTCGGTTTATTAACTTAAGGTGGCACTGGTGGAACATTGATTATTTTGTAAAGTTTTTTTTTGTTAATTTTTACTTGAATAGTTCATAACTTTTTATATAGTCATTATGTCTCAAGGGGATGTATCCTCAATTCCTAATGAGGCTGGTTGGTAAAGATTTGGAGGGCTACCTCACTGGAATAAGGAATGGAGAGAGCAAAGAGAGCAAAATTGTTTGCCACTGTGGGAAACAAAGGTCGTAAGGAACTCATCTGGAATTGCCCAATGGGGCACTTCACAGATTCAGAACACCACCTTGTTGCTGATACACTGGCAGCAATGTATAGCCCCACAATTTCAAAGGAACTGGACAACATCATGAAGGTCCTGTTCCCTGAAGTCCTAATAAAGATCTACATGGACCACCAAAAAGTGGACTATGCCACAGCTGAAGAACTCTTCAATTATGACGTGTACCAGGTTAGTTCCATGTGCTCATATGTTAATCAGTGTATAAACGAGTAACAGAAAATGTGTTTTCAAATATTGTATTTATCAAGGACGTCTCGATGGTCAAATTTTTAACCCATTGAGTCGCATTGCACCCTGATGCACCCTACTTTAGTATTTTACTCTGTCTAACACCAGACGATTTTACTCTGTCTAACGCCAGACGATTTTACTGTCTAACGCCAGACGATTTTACTCTGTCTAACGCCAGACGATTTTACTCTGTCTAACGCCAGACGATTTTACTCTGTCTAACGCCAGACGATTTTACTCTGCCTAATGCCAGACGATTTTACTCTGTCTAATGCCAGACGATTTTACTCGTCAAGGGGAGAGCGCTGGCGCTTAATGGGTTAAGTAAGGTCAGATCACTGGCCTAACGAAAAGGGCAGACGCAACCACTGTCCAGTCCACTGTCTGTGCTGGTGACACACAACTTAACGGTGACACACAACTTAACGGTGACACACAACGCAACCACTGTCCAGTCCACTGTCTGTGCCAGTGAAATTCGCATGCAATGTTAATGAATGTTTGAATTTTTTATGAAGTATCCATTAAAAATGTCTGGTAAATCATTAGTACAGTTGCAACGGTACATAAATAAGCTGGTAAGGTAATCGTTAATTTTGAAAATATTTAATATTTTCAAATCATTAAGTAGCGGTTTTGTATGTTCTGTGTATGATTTAAATTTCATTAATCGAATAATCTTCTTTTGAATTCTGAAAAGCTTTTCAATTTTCGAAGGGTATGTATTACACCAAGCTAAATTACCATATGTAAGGTATGGATAAATTAAAGCATAATAGGTCAACTTTATAGTGTTCAAGTTCGTAAAATGTCGCAATTTTGAAATTAGTCCAGTAAACTTGACAATAGTTTTACATATGGAATCAATATGATTTTTCCATGTTAAATTTTCATCAATTAGTACACCCAAAAATTTTGTATAAGAGACATTTTGGATCAATTCATTTCTTATTTTTATTGTAATATTATGAGATTCCAATTTTTTATTTTTTGATTTGAAAAGAATTAATTTTGTTTTAGAAGCGTTAATTGATAATTTATTAGCATTAAGCCAATTCATAATTTTATTCATTTCTTCTTGCATTATATTCATTAAAGAGGTTAAGCAAGAATTTGAATAAAAAGCATTTGTGTCATCTGCATACAAGACAAATGATATAATATTACTACAATTTTCAATATCATTGATATATAACAAAAAGAGCAAAGGTCCAAGTATTGATCCTTGAGGAACACCAGTAGTAATAGTCGTTTCTGATGAATTGTATTCTTTATATTTTACTATTTGTTTTCTTTCAAATAACTTTTAAACCATTCAATGCATAATCCTCTTATACCATAATGTTCTAACTTCTTTATCAAAATTTCATGGTTGACTGTCTCAAATGCTTTTGAGAGATCAAGGAAAATTCCAATTGTGTATTTGCCTTCATCTATTGCTTTGGAAATTTTGTCAGTAATTTCAATAATTGCATGTTCTGTTGATCTATTTTTCCTAAATCCGTATTGGTGTTTCGACAAGATTTCATTTGCGTCAATAAATTTTATCAATCTTTGATACGAATTTTTTTCTGTGTTGGTGTAGTGTACTCAGATGAATATGATATTTGTGGTGTTACTCTGAGTGTATATACACACTGGGCGAGCTTGAAAAATATGCCCGGCCATGGTGGGATTCTAACCTTCGACCTTTGGAATACTAGCCCAATGCTCTTCCAACTGAGCTATGCGGTCATGACGGTTCGAGTAAGTGATATTTCGGAACAGAATCTAGTTCCTTCGATACCAATGTATTCTAGTAATATGAATTTTTTTCTGTGTTGGTGTAGTGTACTCAGGTGAATATGATATTTGTGGTGTTACTCTGAGTGTATATCCACACCGGGCGAGCTTGAAAATATGCCCGGCCACGGTGGGATTCGAACCTACGACCTTTGGAATACTAGCCCAATGCTCTTCCAACTGAGCTACGCGGTCAGGACGGTTCGAGTAAGTGATATTTCGGAACAGAATCTAGTTCCTTCGATACCAATGTATTCTAGTAAAATGAATTTTTTTCTGTGTTGGTGTAGTGTACTCAGGTGAATATGATATTTGTGGTGTTACTCTGAGTGTATCTACACACCGGGCGAGCTTGAAAAATATGCCCAGCCACGGTGGGATTCGAACCTTCGACCTTTGGAACACTAGCCCAATGCTCTTCCAACTGAGCTATGCGGTCAGGACGGTTCAAGTAAGTGATATTTCGGAACAGAATCTAGTTCCTTCGATACCAATGTATTCTAGTAATATGAATTTTTTTTTGTGTTGGTGTAGTGTACTCAGGTGAATATGATATTTGTGGTGTTACTCTGAGTGTATATACACACCGGGCAAGCTTGACAAATATGCCCGGCCACGGTGGGATTCGAACCTTCGACCTTTGGAATACTAGCCCAATGCTCTTCCAACTGAGCTATGCGGTCAGGACGGTTCAAGTAAGTGATATTTCGGAACAGAATCTAGTTCCTTCGATACCAATGTATTCTAGTAATATGAATTTTTTTCTGTGTTGGTCTAGTGTACTCAGGTGAATATGATATATGTGGTGTTACTCTGAGTGTATACACACACCGGGCAAGCTTGAAAAATATGCCCGGCCACGGTGGGATTCGAACCTTCGACCTTTGGAATACTAGCCCAATGCTCTTCCAACTGAGCTACGTGGTCAGGACGGGTCGAGTAAGTGATATTTCAGAACAGAGTCTAGTTCCTTCGATACCAATGTATTCTAGTAATATGAATTTTTGCTGTGTTGGTGTAGTGTACTCAGGTGAATATGATATTTGTGGTGTTACTCTGAGTGTATATACACACCGGGCGAGCTTGAAAAATATGCCCGGCCACGGTGGGATTCGAACCTACGACCTTTGGAATACTAGCCCAATGCTCTTCCAACTGAGCTACGCGGTCAAAACGGTTCGAGTAAGTGATATTTCAGAACAGAATCTAGTTCCTTCGATACCAATGTATTCTAGTAATATGAATTTCTTTTTGTGTTGATGTAGTGTACTCAGGTGAATATGATATTTGTGGTGTTACTCTGAGTGTATATCCACACCGGGCGAGCTTGAAAAATATGCCCGGCCACGGTGGGATTCGAACCTACGACCTTTGGAATACCAGCCCAATGCTCTTCCAACTGAGCTGCGCGGTCAGGACGGTTTGAGTAAGTGATATTTCGGAACAGAATCTAGTTCCTTCGATACCAATGTATTCTAGTAATATGAATTTTTTTTGTGTTGGTGTAGTGTACTCAGGTGAATATGATATTTGTGGTGTTACTCTGAGTGTATATACACACCGGGCGAGCTTGAAAAATATGCCCAGTTGAAAGAGCATTGTAGCTCACTTGGAACAGCATTGGACTAGTATTCCAAAGCTCGTAGGTTTGAATCCCACCATGGACAGGCATATTTTTCAAGCTCGCCCGGTGTGTATATACACTCAGAGTAACACCACAAATATCATAATCTTTGATACATTACTTTTTCCAATAATTTTGAAAAACATGATAGTACCGAAATAGGTCTGTAGTTTTGAAATCTAAAGTCTTCATTTGCCTTGTATACAGGAGTTACTAATGCTATTTTTAAAGAGTCTGGAACAATTCCAGTGGTAAATGTCAAATTGAATATATGAGCTAATGGTCTACAGATTTCATTTCTAATGAACTTTATTACTTTGTCACTTAGCTCATCATAACCAGCACTTTTATTTTGATTTAATTTGTCTATTTCAATTTTTACTTCAATCTCAGTAACCGGCTCAACAAACATACTTTTCACATAACTTCCGGAAAGATACCTGTCAAATGATTTTTCGTTATTTTCAATGCGAATTTGTCTAGCTAACTCAGGTCCGACATTAATAAAATATTTATTAAAGATGTTTGCGATAACAGTTGGATTTGTCAAGGCTTTGTTGGAAACTTTTTCTATAAATTTATCCAGTAGTGTGGATTTTTCATTCCTTCTATTTAAAATTTCGTTAATCATTTTCCATGTCATTCTACTATTGTTTTTATAATTTACAAATTGTTTTTCATAATAATTTTTTTTGGCAAGTTTGACTAGGTGATTTAGTTTGTTCTTATACTTTTTGTATGTTTCTTCATTTTTCCAATTAGGTGTTTTCAAATATTTTCTATAACGTTTATTTTTTTCAGTTACAGACTTTGAAATACCGTGAGTCATCCAAGGACTTTTAAAGTAATCAATCTTTTTTTTCTTTTTCTTTTGTAGTGGAAAGTTTTTGTTGAATGCAGTTTTTATTTTTTAAAAAAAAGTTTCATAAGATTCAGTAGCATCATTGCTTTGAAAAATATCGTCCCAAGTGGGTCGGTACAAAACCTGGACCCCCCACTTTTGGACCCCCTTATGGACCCCAAAAGAGACTGATAAACTGCACCAAACTATAGCCGCGGCGAATATTGGAATAGAGGAAATTAGTCTAAATTGTCACCCGTTCCGCATGTTGTAACCAATAATCTATTGGCGTTGTAATGCCACTGTATGTAATAAAGTATTGGGTTGTAACAGATGGCAAAACCACAAACTTTAGACAAAAGTTTTAGGATAAATGTAATTGGCTTAGCTTGGAGGATAGAGGGGAAGTCGGAGGGAATGCGTTAGGGGTTAGCGGTTAGGGACAGTGCGCTCATTTTTAAGGAATTATCCTTAAGGGTAGGAATTTTGAAGTGTTCTAAGGATTTTTTTAAGGATCAATCTCCAACATTTAATCCTCTACGAAAAACGTTGGACGGAGGATAACCACGCTCATAATTACATATATTTGTATGTTATCTATGTCATAAATGTACATATGGCTGTCTTTCCATCAAAATTCTCAAAAGTTAATGTCAGTATATGCTGTTTCTTCTGAAATCTACAGATTTAATTTGTAAATTCTCAGGGCCGTAGCGACTGAGGGGGGGGGGGGGGGAGCAACACCCCTAATATTGATCATGAACAATTTCAGGTAGATTTCCTGTAGATTTTCAATTAAATTCATGTAATTCTTAGGGCATAAAAAAGTGAACTCTATAATCTGAATTAACAATCAAACAAACTAAAGACATTGAGATGTGTTGTGGCAGGGGCACAATTGGAAAATACCCTTTCTGACGATCTGGAGACTTAAAATTTCCAAAATTCTCTCAATATCCCATTAAACTGAAAGGTAGCAAATAATACTTATCTTCATTGTTAGGCAATACTAAAATATTGGGTAGGAAAGACTCTAAAAATGCCATTTCCGACGGTCTAGAGACTTCGAATTTAAAAAAATACGGTTTTAAAAAACGTTCAGTTCGAAAAATTCAGGGTAAATCAGGTGAAAAAAACACTTTTTGAAACTATGTGATCACGCCTTGTTGTAATTTTACCACGATTTTACATCAAAATTCTTATTTACTTTTACCATAAAGAAAGCAATGGAAAGACATTGTCATCTGTTAAAATCATGTATAAAGATCACTCACTGCCGCAGAGCCTTTACTTTCACACAAATATTTGTTAAATAACATATTTATAATCCCATATTACCACTATTATCCTCCAGTCACCATTCAATTATAATGAAAAATTGTTAAAAAAATAATGAAAAAGTTCAGATTAAAATTAAAATTTATGCCTGGAAAATGAGAGGAGAGTGTTCAAAGATACTAAAGTAGTTCTTCGCTTCTAAAAAGCTTTATTTAATTCATGCATGATCACAGCTGGAAAAATAAGACTCTCTTGGTCAAATAGAGAATTTAAGTTGCACTTGTTACAGCTTCAAATGCAAATGTTGAATGTATAAAAAATGTGAAAATCTGTGATTTGCCATTGTAAACAATGACTATGTCTGAAACTCCCCTGGGACTTTAGTTATGTATTTCTTTTCATTGACTCATTGTATTCATGTGGTAACTAACAACTTACTGTGGACGTCGCACAACAAACAACAAAGTGTCCAGTGAGCATGGAGAACGAAATTGTTCATTTAAATGATTTATTTCTGAATTTAAACAATATGTTTCAAGTTTTGTTTACTATTTACATACCTGCCATTAATGCTGTGTTTCATGAATCAATGCATCAGATAAATGATGAGAGGCAGTTTGACATGCTTATTTCTAATTTGGGACTGTTTCAAGCATTTTAAACTCATTGCTTTAGTTGCAACATGCACCCACAGCTCACTACCAAGGCCACATATTGAAAATGTTTTATTCCCCGAGTTTTGTGTTCTGAATTCCTTGCAAGAAATGTTTTCAGTGATTTGGAAAGATGCTAACACCTGTTCTGGAGTCTGACAGGCGAAAGCGTTGAGTCCTTTAGACGAATAGTTCAGGATATTGGGCCTGTAATGTGCATGTTCACCAGGCAAAGGCAACCCAGAGTCCAAAATAGCACTTTCAAATTAAATGAGATCAACCATATACTTATGGTTATTATCTGGCTATGAATGTATCCTGAAATTGCAATGTTAAGTGCATTGTTCATGGTCAGTCCAACCGCGATAGAGAGAGAAATCCGATTCAATGGCCTACTGCTGAGCAGTGATAACAACAACGACAGCGCTCAGCTGGTAGAATAGGAAATGGAGAGGAACTCCAGCTGAATTATACATTTTAGCTGACAAAGGATATCCCTGTGAATATCGACACCTTGGAGAGTATTAGCCGTACGTGGCTGGAGATGAACGTAGGAAACTATTTGACCTTCAATTAAGGAGAGTGCTAGCCAGGATAGAACATTGCATCAGACTTGTCAAAGAATATGGAGCTGTGAACCAACTTTGGTGGCGTGAACAGTGGATGTTTCCTGTAGTTAATGAACTTTGTGCATTTGTTGTGCAAAGACACATTAATCTCTCTAGTGTACTGTGATATAGTTATATACTAGCTTCCAACTTTCAATAAAGATAGCATTTTTATTTCAAAAGTGCTGTCTTACTAATTAACAAATTTATAGTTGTGCACCAATTGTCGATTTTTGTTTCCAGAAACAAGCTTACACAATTACAGTCAATTAAGGAAAAACTGTAAACAAAATATTTGTTAATGACTTTATTGTGTTTTACATTTATAAGTGATTGTATACTGTATACATGTTATTCACACAATTATTTATTTATTTATTAAACTCCAGTCTGTCAAAGACATACCCTGAAAACATGCCTGACTGGGTACTGGCTAAATATTTTGACCCGGAATCTGAACGACAACAACTCCTTCGTGACTGCCAACAAATCAAGATTCAGAGCATGAGATCAATGGATAACACCAAGCTTGTCAATAGCATTGAGTTGGATCAGAAGTCTTGTGAAAATGTTCTTACAGCCATTACCAAAATACTTTCAAATGCTTTGGATGTGTACCTTAGTAATATCATGGCTTCATTCATTGGAGACTGGCCCATGCAATTTTTTATCCGCCAACTAATTAATTCAAATGCTCCCGCAGTACCCGCAGTTCTCAAAAATGTAGCCCCCTTTACTGGTCCTCTGCACATTTCATTGAATGCCAGGGACCACCACCAAGTGTTTGCTGATCTTTATGCATTCTTATTCGGAAAGAAAGCAAAGTTGGCAAAGAAGCCAAAACCATGTGTGTGTCATTACTTTTGGAAGTGATCTACGAAGGATGGACACTAATAAGAGGCATGATTATGTCAGTCTTTTATAAGTGCAAAGATATTCAATTTCTAACACTTGTAAACCTTCTTGACAATTATGTGCCACTTATCCTCAGCATATACTCAATTGTGTTTAAGTGCAACAAGTATAACCTTTTTTGCCAGTCCTTTCTCCACCGTTGGGTTATGTTCAGTGTTCAAAAGGTACCACTACAACAAAGCATTACTAGTCATGCTTTCAACATTCCTACACTTGCAAGAAAATACCTCAAGTATGTTTGAAACCTTATGTCAAAATCTGGGTTGCATTTGACAAATATCCAGTAGAGAACGTCCACTCTGTACTTCGAACAAGAACCAAAGAGACTGACACAGCAGACAAGATACAACCTACAATCCTTTAATTTCAGCAGGAAAAGAATAAGCAAACTGAAAGCAAATTTCTTACTCTTAAGTTTGAATTTCTTACTCTTAAGTTTGAATTTCTTACTCTTAAGTTTGAATCCCTTTATTCCCACCCTGGCATGGCAGTCCTACAACCTCGAGCCCCTAGATAACCTAAGGATACAACTAAGTGGAAACTTCCCAACCTGTTTGGAGAGAACATTGTTACAAATAGAGTGCTTCCGCTTGGATTTACCTCAATGGAAACTCCACCAAACCCAAACAGGTAAAAGTACAGTATAATTTTATTAATGTCATGCATCAAAACTGGGACAAAATATAATCATAAATTGATAAATATGATTTCTATATAATACAGTAAAAAATTACATATGTTATCATGTAATGATATATGGTGGTGATATAAATATGTTGTGGGGCCATTCCATTTAACATACAAACCCCCCCTATGAACAAGCTCTTCTGTGCAATTTTTATGAGGGCTAAGGGGGAAATTTACAATTTTCTGAGGGTTGTTTTGTATTGGCACTTTGATCTTTTTTTCTTTGAGGTTAATTAAAATTTTTACTTACCTCATCCATAGGGGTGTGTGCATATTAAATGAACGGCCCCTAATATATTTTAAAATGAATAAATCCTTGGTTGTGGACATTCGTTCCACATTGAATGTAGCATGCCAGAGATAACCACTTGCCCAGTTTGTTGATCAAAGTTATTGGCAAAGGTTCATTGTCATAAACTTAAATAATTATTCTGCATACCATTTCTAGCTGCTGTGATGCTGGGCTCCTGTAATTATTTGATAAAAGTTAGGAAGTGTGACTTTATAAATACACTTATAACTTACTCAGTAAACAAAATGAACATCTTCAGAATTGAATTATTTATTTGGAAAGGTGATTAAATGCAGCATGTTTGGCTATAGCTTTAAAACTAAATGGAAATATTGAACTACAGTATACGTTCTGTTTTTTTAAGATATATTTTCTGCAATTAAATGTATCGATTTTGAAATCCAAATGCTAAATAGGTTTGAATTTAGTTTTTACTGCTCTTGCCAAATGTGACTTAAATTACACCATTGGTTCATTGGTAAAACATAATTTCAGCAGTTATAAATCATCCAAAACTGCTTCTGATCTAACTATAATGTTCTTCACAATAGACCCTGGGTCTGATAGTTTGCAAAAAGTATAATTTGATTCAAATTTGAGTGTTACGTCCAAGGTCGTTCTTTAACATTTTTAAAATAAACAAAAATAAAATATTCACAGTGTTTATTTACTTAAACAGCCCAATATTTGTATTTTTTCTTGGAAAATCATGTGAGATATCATGTTTAGTCATATGGACATATCGCCTATTCCATTTTTCACTATCCATGTTGATTTAAAATCTGTATGAACATTTTTATTCTCAAAATCCATCAAGTACTGGTACTGTATGGTGGCCGAGCGTTGCCACTCGTTTTTTTTTGTACATTTTACATTATTTTAAAGATTTTTTTACTTTTTATTTTTTTAATTAAAATGAAAAATAAAAATAAATTAAAATGAAATACAAAATAAATTAAAATGAAATACAAAATAAATTAAAATGAAATACAAAATAATTTACAATTAAAATTAAAGTAAAAGTGAATTTCACCATGGCCGAGGGCTGCCACTACCAAAATATTCTTTATAATTGTTTTTTTAATTAAAGTGAAAAATAAAAATAAATTAAAATGAAAAATAAAAGTAAATTAAAATGAAATACAAAATACTGATTTACAATTAAAATTACAAAGTAAAAGTGAATTTCACCATGGCCGAGAGCTGCCACTACCATAATGCACAGCGACCCGAGAGAAATTCCCATGGGCCGAGCAGTGGCCGAGCAGTGGCCGAGCGCTATCATAACATCCCATGAACCTTTGCCCGCGCGGAAGGCAACATGGCGGAGAAATGGCGAAAGTTCAAAGAAGATATGAAAAAAAAACGCTTGAGTGGGAAGAGCCAAAAAGGGAAAGATGTTTCCAAACGTGAAATAACTGTTCAAATGTTAAGCGCGGACGTGTTGGGCAAGGCCCAAAAGTATTCACGTATCGGCCCAAGGGAATTTGTCCAGTTATATGACGACGACGATGAAGATCTAGATCGATTTTATACAAAAGAAGAGATGACAATTGAACGAGTGAAGGATGCATGCCTGAAACATTTTGAACCGAAGGTTGGAAACAATGTTGTATGTGATATTCTTGCCGGTGAGCAAGGACCTTCCTGCGCATCCTTGAAGCAAATACCTAATATGAATCTTATATACGTCAGATTCATAAACAAAAGCTCGACAGCAGATGCGCCTGTATTCGTTGATGATACTGACCCAGTTCATCCGCAAAGCACAACTGTGAAACGAAAGGGCCCTAACTCTGTTCCAAGTCCAAAAAAAGCTAAAATCTCAACACCAATGCCCAAGAGTCTCTCGGTAACCCATATGTTGAAACTAGGTAAACTTATAAACAAGTCTACCACCACCATCCACTTGTATGGATTTAATTTGGCAGATATGAGCTGGTCGTCTTCACCAAGGGCAGTTGAATTTAGTGTTTCAGAAGATGTGCTCGGAGAAGGTGCATTCCGAAAAGCTTATAAAGCAGAATCAAAAGATGAGAGCTTTGCTGGTTCATGGGTAGTCAAAGAATATAATGAAAATGCATTGGATGTCATTGCTGAGACCAATCAAACTCTCGAAACCCATACAAAGAAGGTTGTACAAATGCACAGCTTAGCCCAGAACTTTGCAAGCCAACTGAAGACAAGTGTTGAGCAAAATGTCATGCAAGAATCTTTTGGTGATTGTTTCCATTATGGGAGTGTCTACTTAGGAAAGAAAGGTGACGAATTTGTCACAGTTGAAGAGTTTGTAGATGGAGAGTTTAGTAAGTATATAAACAATGATGGCACATTGTGCAAGAATGTCAACGAAGTTATATTACAGAAAGCAGAGTGTCTTTCTCATTTTTCTTTTGAAAAATCCAACAATCAGGTAATGGTGTTAGATATCCAAGGATGTGGCTACTCCCTTGTAGACCCAGAAGTTGCATCATCTTCCCTCTTTGATGAAAATAAAGAATTACTTTTTACCACAGGGAATTTGTCATTTGAAGCAATTGCAAAATTTAAACTCATTCATAGATGTAATGAGTACTGTGAGCTTCTGAAGCTTAAAGTACTTGTATAGAAAGAATACACAAACTGCTGTTAGGGGAAAGTAATGATGTATCTTTAAAACATTGTTCTTATTTCAGTTTGGTGTATAACAAGGACACCTAAAACTTGATATTATCGACATTATCTGTTAGTTACTCTTAGAAGATTCATTAATGTCTTTTAAGAACATATCAGACTTTAAATCGCATCCCTAGTAATGTGGTAGCAAAGAGTGACTGGGCAAGCATCTGTTTAACACCAGGTTATAATAAAAAAACTTTTATGAACACATTGGGCAATTTAATTCAAGTCTTAAATTAACAGT